CTCACCGCTGCGGGAGGGAGGAAGACGGCGTCAGGGAGGCGGCCCACTCCAGGCTCCAGTCCTCCCTGCCCTCCTGGGCTGCACCCCCGGGGGCGGGGGCCCTGATGGGCGCGCAGGGCTTGTGGCATCTGGGGAAGTGTTGTCTGCACAGTCAGCATTCATTCCCTTCTCTGGGTGGCTCAAAGACTGTGACTACTCTGAAATCAAACATCCTGTCGGGTGTGGTGGTTCACGCCTGTAATCCCAGCACTTTGGGAAGCCGAGGTGGGAGGATGGCTTGAGCCCAGGAGTTCCGAGACCAGTCTGGGCAACAGAGCCAGATCCCATCTCAACACAAAAAATTTAAAAAAAAACCAAAACTGTCTGGGTGTGATAGTGCGCTCCCCTAGTCCCAGCTACTCAGGAGGCTGTGGCGGAAGGATCAACTGAGCCCAGGAGTTCAGGCTGTGGTGAGCCATGATCCTACCACCGCCTTCCAGCTTGGGCGACAGAGTGAGACTCTGACTCAAAACCAAGCAAAACAGAAAACAAAAAACCTCCAACAACAACAAAGCATCCAGATTAAAATGGAAGCATTCAGCCAATTCCCCAGATGTTTGCACGTTCCCTAGGCTGACTGTTGTCTATACTCGTATATGGCTAAAAAGTCAGGTCGGGGTGTGTGGACAGGTAGTGAGATGGACTGTCCAGACGGCTGAACAGCCACCGGGCTTTTTTCTTCCAATTGCATTATGTCCTTGGGTGGTTCCCGAATTTCCCCAACCCAGCACACACTAGTTCCTCAGCATCTCTCCCCTGATGCTCTGCCTCTGCTCTTGTAGCCTTCTGCTGCCCACTGGGCCCACCCCCACACCCCAGGACTCTTGCTTAGACCAGCCCCATCTGCAGTGGGCACCCTCTTTCCTGCCCTCTCCTCTTACCAGCATCCTTCCTGCCGGCTGTGGTCTCCGCTCAAGCTTGACCACCTGCAGACAGCCTCTCCTACCCGCCTCTAGGGGTGCTGTCTTCCAGGTACATGAAGCTCTGGCTGTCTGAGCTACCCAGGTGCTTCTGGATTCAGAAATCTGGGTTTGAATTCTGTCTAGCTCTGTGAGTTCTAGCAAACCACGTACTTCCTTTGGGTGGGCAAGATGGGGATGCTAGTACCTGCTCCGTACCCCAGGGATCCTTCCAGGATTAGGTTGGCAGTGGTTAGGACCCATCTACTCAAGAAGGGCATAATCTGGACAGCAGGGGCTGGGTCTTGCCTTGCCTGTGCCTCCTGTGTGCTTTGGGTACATTCGATACTTTGAGTGTCTGGTGGTGCAGCAGGGAGACTTACATTCAACCTTGTCGTCTTCCCTGCCATCGGGAGATGAGAGTCCTCCCTGGCACAGGGCTATCTGTCCCTTCTAAGTCCCCGAGAGTCAGCAGAAGGGCTGACTGTCTTCCAGAACCCTCTCTTGCCTGTAGGCCCTGCAAACCTTTGTGTTTGCTGCTCTGGCAAGATCTCAGACCTCAGCTAAGGAGCTGCTCCTAGTTTACGGGCCAGGTGGTCCCATATCCCCTGACTGTCATGGCCAGACCAGATCTCAGAAGCCTCCTGACTCCAATGTGGGCCTCAGTGTGAAGCAGATTTGAAGGGAAAGGAAATGGGTGAAGAGGTAAAGATGTAAGATTCTTACATATGTTTACTGGTCCAACACCTTCACAGATCCTGAAAAGGGGAAAAAAGAAAAGTCACTTCACATGCACGGTGGTGCCCTGAAACCTACTTGCTAGAAAAAGGGCTTTCTTGTCCCAGTGGACCAGTGGTCTCACCCCTGGTTGTACACACATCCCAGAGCTTTGAAACACTGCATGTTCCTAGATCCTATCCCAAAATTATTAAAATATTTGAGGAAATGTATATTATTAGTTTTAGTAAATTAACCAACCAATGACAAACTTGTCTACGGACTTTGAGCGGCACAGAGCTACAGCCTTCTTCTTCTTTGTTCCTTTTTTTTTTTGAGTTGGAGTCTCACTCTGTTGCCCAGGCTGGAGTGCAGCGGCATGGTTACAGCCACTGCAGCCTTGACTTGCTGAGCTCAAGTGATCCTTCCATCTCAGCCTTCAGAGTAGGTGGAACTATAGGCACACCACCACGCCCGGCTGATTTTTTGATTTATTGTAGAGACGAGTTCTCACCAAGTTGCCCTGGCTGGTCTTGAACCCCTGGGCTCAAGCAATCCTCTTTCCTCGGCCTCCCAAAGTGTTGGGATTACAGGCGTGAACCACCACGCTTGGCCCTACAGCCTTCTTCTAACATCCTAGTAGGGGCAACCCGACTCATGCTTGCAGAAAAGCCATCGTCACCCCAGAGATTGCTCATTTCTGCAGTTCTTCACCAGGCCTCCTCCCCTGACTTAGTCTTCCTGGGTGCCAAGTCTGACTCCAGTCCCTCCTGCTGTTCCCAGGGTGCTCACCGGCTCTCCTCGCCCTCCAGAAGGCGCCTGTAGGTGGCGATCTCGATGTCCAGGCCCAGTTTAGCGTTCATCAGCTCCTGGTACTCACGCAGCTGTCGTGCCATATCCTGCTTGGCCTGCTGCAGAGCGGCTTCCAGGTCTGCCAGCTTGGCCTTGGCATCGTTGAGGGCCACCTCACCCTGCTGCTCAGCCTCGGCCACTGCTGCCTCCAGCTTGGCACGCTGTGGGGAGTGCAGTTTGCAGGTAGGCTTTGGTGGCGGTCAGGGGATCCCCGGGATGGGGGTGGGGGGTTAGAAACACTGCCCCTCCTGGTGCGGACATTGCCTGTTGCCAAGCCGGGGATGGACCCCATGGCGGCTGCTCTCCCAGGCACTGGAGATCCTGTAGTTTGACGTCACCAGGTGCAGTGCGAAGCATTGCTTTTCTTTGGTTTCCATCCTCACTGACTTTGCCCTTCTTGATTTCTGCTCCCCCAAATCTTGGGGTCTGGCGGTAAACCTAGTCTTTCTGTCTCACCTCTCCCTTGGTCTGCCCCAGCCCTTTCTTTCCATATGGGAAGCTCTCCTTTTTTCCATATTTTCCTCCTTCAGGAAGCCTTCCGGGACTTAATCCTCCTTTCCTCTGTTTCTTGGTCTTGGTGGTTTTCTCACCTCATCAGACTTGGGGCTCCCCAGTGCTTGGGTCCCGCCTCCCCCCTTTCTGGGCCTTCTCTCATGTCCTTTGCTCACCTGAGCCTTGGCGTGCTCAATCTCTGCCTTCAGCCTCTGGATTAAGCGGGTCAGTTCGTTGATCTCGTTCCGTGTGTTGCGCAGGTTGTCACAGTGTTGACCAGCTGTCACCTGCATCTCTTCATACTGAGGGAGAGGAGGGCATTTTGAGGTTCAAAGGTCAAGTCAAGGCCACAGTCCCCACTGAGTTGGGGTTCTCAGGAGTCTTACCCTCAAGGATGCCCACATCTCTTCCCCAGCCTCCCCCTGCCCACCTTGGTCTGGTACCAGGCTTCGGCGTCAGCCCGGCTGCGCCTGGCCACCTCCTCATACTGGGCCTTGACTTCGGCAATGATCCCGTCAAGGTTCAAATCCCGGCTGTTGTCCATCTTCACGATAACCGATGTCTCTGAGATGTGTGATTGCAGCAGTTGGATTTCCTGTGTTAGAGGATCAGAGAGACAGATGGACTCAGAGTCCCATTCAGTAGCTGGCACTGTGCCACTGGGGGCCCAGGAAGTGGTGGCAGGGGCAGAGAGCTTTGCTCAATGGCCCAGAGAAAAGCAAGACCATCCAAACCAAGGGCAAAGAAAAAAATAGGACCGAGAACCATCTCAGTCTGACTTAGAACCTGGATGTACTTGGACACATCCCTTTAACACCCTACCTTGCTTAGGTGATTACTGAGACCTCGGAGACCTAGGAATGAGGTGGACGGGAGTGGGAGCCATGCTGGGGCTTAAACGTTTCTTTGGATTATCCACAGTGTGGTTGTGCTGGCCATGGGCCATCGAGAGCTGACAGTATTCTAGAGCACTGTGGGCTAGGAATTCTTGTATCCTAAGTCCCTAATAGAACCAGGGGGGTTGGAATTGGCCTGTAAGGTGAGTGAACCAGAGGGGGCTTTCCTCATCCATTTCACTCAGAGCTAGAATTCAGCTCTGGCTTGGTCTAGATCAGAGCAAAAAGATCACTTATGATGCAAAGGCTACCTATTAATTGCTGATTTGGCTAGTTAGGTCAAGCACACTTTTTTCTTTCTTTCCTTCCTTCCTTCCTTCCTTTCTTCCTTCCTTCCTTTCTTTCTTCTCTCTCTCTCTCTCTCTCTTTCTCTCTCTCCCTTTCTTTCTTTCGAGTTGGTGTCTCACTCTGTCACCTAGGCTGGAGTGCAGTGTCACACTCACGGCCACCCCAGCATCAACCTGCGGGGCTGTGACGATCCTTCCGCCTCAGCCTTCCAACTAGCTGGAACTACAGGCATGCACTACCACACCCAGCTATTTTTTGTGATTTATTGTAGAGATGAGGTCTCACCAAGTTGTCCAGGTTGGTCTCGAACCCCCGGGTTCAGACAATCCTCTTGCCTTTGCCTTTCAAAGTGCTGGGATTACAGGATGAGCCACTCCGCCCAGCCAGCACATTTTTTCTTACCTCTCTTGGCAAATCAGTTTTTCCAAAGGCTTCTGGTCAGTCCCTAGAAAATGACATTTCTAGACCCTGGTCTTTGATTGGTCAATAAGGAGTTGTATCATAGATCCAGGGGGTTTCTCTTAAACTGGAGTCAGCCTACTGAGAGGCTTGCTCACCTCGGCCTCTCCATTCACAGATACATCAGTGCGTGGCACTTGTAGGTTTGAGTGGGAGGAAAGGGATATGGTACCAAAGGTTTGAAAACATGCTGGCCCAGACTAGGCCCTTGGGGAGTCCATGCCAAGAACTGATCTCCTCAGATGCCTTAGAGGTGAGCCCTCACCTCCATGTAAAGAGTTTTCAGAAAGTCGATTTCCTGAATGAGGGCTTCCATGTTGGCCTCTAGGTCAGACTTACTCAAGAAAGCCGTGTCCACATCCTGCATGAAAGAGAAAAGGAGAAATACTCATGTCCTGGCTGCTGTTTTGCTTTCTACCTAGGCAGGGCCTGGGGATGGGTGAGAAGACTGGGCCACTTCCCATGGGTGCTCATAGGTGGCAGAGTCACTGGGTGAAAGACAAGCTTTGTGACTGTTGTTCTTCTCCAGACGAGAAACTCCCCTGGTGGCTGCTGGCTTAGTGAGAGGCAAGGAACATCTAGATAATCCAAGACCCTCAGGTCACCTTTTCCAACTTCTGCTCTCATGAGACCCAATCCTGAATAACTGAAGCCCAATCAGAGCTCCTTAGGGAAGCTGTCATGATCTCAGGGGTTCTGCTGTTTTGACGTGAGTGGTCTCAGACACCACAGAGCTGCCTGGGAAGTTTTCCTGGGGGTCTCGAGAACACCTGCCCACCTTGAAGAGAGGTTTGCCTGATCTGCTGTTGTCTCTTACCTTCTTCAGAGCCACAAACTCATTCTCAGCGTTGGCCCGGAGGACCACCTCCTCTTCATACCTGGGGTGATCGAGATTGAGAGGACAAATTCTCACTCTGAACTGAGGGTCAGTCACTCCCAATTCCACATTGACCCACTCAAGACCTCTCAGTCCACCCAGGAGCATGGTTCCCTGTGGCTGTCTGCTTGCTGCCATCCTCTCTGGTCTGTCTTTGAAATATTTTCTGACCCAGTACCCCTTGGTTTCTCCAAAGCCCTTCTACTTTCTCAGCCTGGATTTGGGATCTGGAATGCTGGTCCATTGCTGAGCTCCTCTGACAGAAATGACCACAGAGGAAGGAGGACCCAACTGAATGCTGAACAGGGGCACCTGTTTCCTCAGAAGGGCTTCCTCCTCCCTCTTCAATATAACAGCCTCCCGGCCCCCTCCCCAGGTTTGAAATGGGAAGCAGCATTCAATCCTGATCCTTCCAGCTTCCCTCGTCTGAGCTCGGGGACCAGCCCATGCCTGTCCTCAGTCTGTGCAAGTCCAGGTGTCACTCACTTCTTCTTGAAACCCTCAAGGACGTCCTGCATGTGGTTCCTCTCAGCTTGGAGCCGGGCCTGGTCGCTGACCTGCACCTCCAGCTCCCTCCGCAGGGTGCTGATGTAGCCCTCGAAGAGGGGCTCCAGGTTGCTCCGGACGCGCTTCTGCTCTTGGAGGAAGCTCCACTTGGTCTCCAGAAGCTTATTCTGCTGCTCCAGGAACCGCACCTAAATCCACAGGAGCAGAGGACAGGCGCTTGAAGTGCCCGAGGGGGCATCCGCCCCGAGTGATTCTCAGATGGCCGGCGGGGACTCAGTCATGTGCCCTTCCTCCTCAGACTCAGCAGGAGCTGGAAGGCAAGTCTGTGACCCCTCCACGCCAGCCAGTCTTAGGTACCAATGGAAACTTGTGGCCCACGACCCTTCAGCATCCTGTCCTCATCTAAGAAAGGGGCAAGTGGCTCATCGGGAAGTTGGAAAGACTGATCCTGCCTAGGATGGGGCCTGCTTGTATCTGAAAATGGATGCCCACCATTCCCGGTGGGGAATGTAAAGACATTCAGGGAGGGATGCCATTCTAGCAGGTGGGAATTCTCGGATTGGAAGTCCTACCCAATGTCTCGTCACTCCATCTGCTGAGGTGTGCTGAGCTGGACGAGAACTTAGAGAGCATTTGCTCCAATCCCTCGTTCTAGAGACGAAGAGACTGATCCTCACAGAAGTGACCCTCCCTTCTCAGACACAAAGCATCCCATCTCCATAGAGCCAAGGCTGTGGGGTGTCACCCTCCGTGGGCTATCCACTTGTCTCAGCCTGAAGACCAGGGATGACTGGCGGGCATCCTTCCCCCGTTTCCCTCAAAATGGGCAACTTGCCGAATCTTGACGTCCCTTCGGGGAGAGGGGTCTGAATTATTTGCTTTTTATACAAAAATGACTCGACTCCATTCTCTGCTTTCCTAAGTCTTAACAGATAAGACTACTTGCCTCAGAAATGATAGACCCCTCATAAAGAACATGAGGATCTCAAAGGATGAAACCTTTGGAGCACACATGGCTCCAGTCCTAATGCTCGCAACCTGCTTGGGAGGTGCTTCAAAGGGACAGATGGTATGCCTCAGTTTGCCCAGATGCTCTCAGATTGGGCTAGATGTTTCTCTTTTCTCCGGAGACATCACCACTGTCTCAGTCTATCCTCCATATCATTTCCTCTGCACAGTCCTTGCTGTGCAGCAGAGCAACCCAGAAATCCCACTGCAATGCCCTGGGTGGACACCTGAAGGATGGGGTCAAGGTCGGTTCTTCTAAGGGAAAGTGCACTCCGGTGCATTTCAGCTGTCCTCAGCCTAGAGCTGGACATCCAGCTGCTGTAGTAGGTACCTTGTCAATGAAGGAGGCAAACTTGTTGTTGAGGGTCTTGATCTGCTCCTTCTCATCCTTCTTCACCCTCTGGGCATTGGGGTCAATCTCCAGGTTCAGGGGAGTCAGCAGGCTCTGATTGACAGTCACAGCTGTGATCGATGGGGCTATGGGGACTCCAAGTCCTCCGACTCTGTAGCCGAAGCCAGGACCACCAAAGCCATAGCCAAGGCCACTGCCAGTCCCAAACCCCAGACCAACGGCACTGCCGGCCCTGAGCCCCAGACCAACACCACTCCCATCACCAAAACCAAAGGCTGTGCCACCACCAGCGCCAAAGCCGACTCTGCAACGGACGGGCCGAGGGCCGACGGCTGCCATCCGTGGTGAGTACGATCCACAGGTGATGACGCTCCGACTACCAAAGCCGCCTAGGCCCCGGAAGCTGGGCCCACTCCTGCAGGAGACGGTGCTGCCCCGGAAGCAGTTCAGGCTCTGGGGGGTCACTGCTGAGCAGGAACTGAAATTGCCCACCCGGCGGCCGGAGTTGACTCGGTAGGAGCGGCAAGACATGGTAGCTTCCTGGGCGAGAGCAACAGAGCAAGTGGAGAATAGGCGAGCTGGAGCTGGGAGTCCCTCTAAGGCCAGTGGATTGCTGTCACCCCTTTTATGTGTGTGGCGATCTGAGGCTTGGCCCTATAAAACCGAAAAAAGCCATTTGCAGGCATTTATGAGCTTGGGTAGTTAGCAGAAACTCTTCATGCTTATAACCTCCTTGACAATGAGCTAACTCAGACACACCTATTCTCATCAGGATGGGGCTGTACCATCAAACCCATAAACATTAAAAACACATCAACACATAAACATGACAGGCCTCTTTTCCCCCATCAGTCCACCACAATTGCCATTACGGGGACCTTAATTTGCTTTGGTCATAAACGCAATGGGCTTTTTCACTGCAAGTGTGGCTAACCACTGGAAAGTTAGGATGGTAACAGACCTAGCAGAAGACCCAAAGGGGCGCATTTATGAAGATATACCTCCCTAAAGAGAGGGGTAGTGTGTGCCAAAAAGAGACAGGGTCTGCAGAGCTCCAAGGAAGGAATGAAGTGGAGAGCAAACAGTCAGTCTATTACATCCCTGCAGATACATCAGATAATCAGAAAATACTTTGTAGTGTTTTATCTAGCCTCCACGACAGATAGGTTTGGCTGTGTATACAAGAGTGGAGTGTACAGTAAAGCTCATTTGGGCTAGTGTAGACACATCTTTGAGTTGAGATGCTCAAAGGATATTCATTCATTTGAGTTCATTCAACAATTATGGGTGGCTTACTCTGTACCAAGCAGTGTGCTTAATGCCCAAGGTACAGACTAAAAAGTGAGTCTCTATCCTTGTGGTAGTAGGGGAAGATATACCTTTTTTTTTCTTCTTTCTTTCTTTTTTTTAAAAAATAGGGTCTTACTCTGTCACTCAGGCTGGAGTGGAGTGGAATGATCATAGCTCACTGTTGCTTAACTCCCGGGTTCAAGTGATCCTTCCATGTCAGCCTCCTGAGTAGCTGGGACTACAGGCATGCACCACCACACCAGGCAGATTTATCTTGAATATGTCCAGCAGTTGACACTTTTGTGGCATGAATTGAGGCCCAAGCATTGTTAATGATTTAGTCTGTGTGGAAATTAACTACATGATTCTGTTTCCCCAAACTGTCAATGGGGCTGATTTACAGTTCTGTTCACATGGATTCCCAGAATTATTGATACATCTTGGGTTAGGATAGAGAGACACAAAGCAAGAAGCATCTGGGCAGAATACGAAAGCTCTCAGCAACTGGATATTGTTATCATGGTCATCAATGCAGCTATCCCAGGACCAAGAGACAGGCTGGTGTCTACCCTTTCTGTCTAGTGTAACTTGGGCCTGGGGGATCTCATATTTGACTAGATGCTTGGCGGTTCTTTGGGAGGCTTGGGATTCTACTTGGAAGGGAATGGGTGCTTTTGACCAGATGTATCCAGCTCAGATGAGCACTACTTTCTATTTCTAGCTATCAGCCATATGTCTGAGGGGGAAGACAAGCAACAAAAAAAAAATGCTAACAAGAGAACATTCTTGTCAAGGTCACTGGTGGCTCTGTATTAAGTTCAGTGGTCTGTCTTCAGCCTTCATGTCTTGTGACTTCTCAGCAGTACTGGCCATAGTCAGCCCCTTCCCATGAATCACTTTCTTTTGATTTCTAGACACTGAACTCTCCCTCCATCTTGCTACTCTTGTCAGTCTTCTTAGCTGATTTCTCCTCCGGTCCCCAGCCTCTAGACCCTGCAGAGTCTCTGAGACCTGTTCTCACCTTCAGACTCATTCCCTTGGTGATATCATACAGACACATGACTTTAAATGCTATCTGCCCACGAATGACTGCCAAGCCCTATCTCCACCTCAGAATCCTGCCCCCTGTACTTCACACATGCATTTCATCAATATCTCTGTTTGGCTATCAGACAGGCATCTCCAACTGAAGACAGTCGTTCCTCAGTATCCACGGGGGATCGGTTCCAGGACCCCTTGTGGATACCAAAATCCAGAGATGCTCAAGTCCCTGATATAAAATGGCCCGGAATTTGCATGTAACCTACACACATCCTCCTGTATCCTTTAAATCATCTCTAGATTATTTATAATACAATGTAAATGCTACGTAAATAATCTTAATACTGTACTGTTCAGGGAATGATAAGAAAAAAAAGTCTGTACTTGCTTAGCATGGACACAATACTTTCTTAGGAATATTTTCAGTCCGTGGTTGGTTGAGCCCATGGATGCAGAGGGCCAACTTTATATACAAACAATTCTCCTAATTGTTCCTATTCAATATGCCCTGCTTGCCAACCTTACTATCTCTGCAGTTGCTCAGGCAACTCCTGGAGTCATCCTCTGTCTTTTTTTCCCATATCCCAGATTCAATCCATTGGCAAATTCTCCCTTCAGAACATACCCAGACTGCTACTCCTTCCCACCATCCTTGTCTCCTCCCCACACCCCACCTAAGCCCATTGCTTCCCCCAGGATCCACTGAACCATCCTCGCAGCTGGTATCCCAGCCTCCTCCCGCACCCCTTCAGACTCTTCTTAGCACCAAAGTCAGACGATCCTTTGAATACATGCTAGAGCATCATGTCACTTCTGTGCTCAAAGCCCTCCCATGGTTTCCCAGAGTCAGTGCCTCGTAGGATGCTCCCCCTTCTCTGACCTCACTCCCTCCACCTGTCCTGCTGTGCACTCTGTTCCCTGCTCCTGCCTTCTGGAGGTCCATCCGATAGGCAGGAAGATTCTTGCCTCAGTCCCTCACCTCCTAGCTGCTTTTTTCCCCCCAGCTAGCCACCTGGCAGGTTCCTCAGCTCTTCTAGGGCTTTGTTCATAGGTTGCCTTCTTTTCCCTCTTGGGGTTCTGACCCCACGTTCTGCCTGGCTTCCTGTCCTGCTTCCTTCTCTCCCCAGCACTTGAGCCACCCAAGGTCCTGCCCCACATGGGTTTGCCTGCTGGCCATCTGCCTGGCTAGAGCAAACACTGCAGGAGGCAGGCTTTGCCCGTGCTTTTTGTTCTCCTTGGGTCCTCAGGGCTTAGAGCAGTGGGGCATGTGGTGGGCATGCATATTGTTTTGTTGAGTGAATGAATACACTGCTAAGACTAAAAGCAGGAGGAGAAGGGAGCAAGAAGTATACAGAAGAGAAATTCGGGCATTTGGTTTGTAGATTCTTCAGGAAAAGGAGGCTCCAGGCTCCCAAATGGATAGGGCTGGCCCTGGTCTGGGAGAGGACTGCGGTGTAGACACTTGAGAGCACACAGGAGAACCGATCCAGTTTGCCCTCCCGCTGCAGCCTCTTGGGGGGTCTGAGTCCAGCTGCTGGAAGGAGAGGACATTCTACTTCTCTGAGACCAGCAAGGGGTTCCAGAAGATTGGGGAGGGGACCAGAAAACCCCCTGTGGAGGTGAAAGGGGGAGGGAATGGGAGGGATGGCCTAGAGCTCATCAGTTGGGAACAGAAGACTTGATACCGATTTTGGAGTCACATGGACTGGGGTGTGACCAGTGTTGCTACCGACCAACAGTGTGACCTTGAATACTGAGGCACCAAGAGCAGGGTGGTGGCAAGGTTCTGCTCCAGGCGCTGGTGCTGCATGTGGAGTGCTTATCTGTAGAGGGCTTACAGCCAACCCCACAGCTCACTAGCAGCCAGCCTGCTTTTTACGCTTGCCATGTGCTGGCCCTTTTCAATAATGTTACTGGTCACTCCCCATCCGTGGTATACCAGTGACCTTGGGACATTGTTTAGGCGCTAAGCCTCAGTTTCCTGGAATTACACCTTCTTCATCCCATCTCAAGGACAAAACGTGTGTTACCTTGGCTGTGCACTGTGGGGTACCTGGCAGCTGGCTGGGCTCTCCACTTCTCCCTCCTCTGTCCTCCTTCCCATCATCCCTTTTCCTCTCTGTTTTGTACAGCCTCCCTTCACTCCTAAGCAGTCACCCTTGTTCCCGCCCAGCACCTGCCCCTTCCCACTCCAGGATCGTTCAAACCCCATGAGCCATTCCCAGGCTGTCCCATGTCCCAGCTTCCCTCAACCCTGACCAGGCAGGGTGGGGCGGGGGTAATTGGGCCCAGTCAAGCAAAACCTCTGTTCCGGGATGAGCTGTCGCTGTCAGCAGTTTACAGCTCTGATGTGTTATTTCACCAGACGACGCATCATACAACCCTTGGCTGGTTTTTAGGGGGTGGCAGGTGCAGAGAGAGGGAGGAGTTGCCCCGGCAACTCTGGGCTGGAGGTTTTGCTGCGGCGACAGTTTCTTCTTGCTGTTGTCAGTCAGTCTGAGAGTAATCCTCTGATCTGCCCGCTGAGCCCAGGCTCTACTGTGGTGTCACTGTGTGCTGGCTGCTGGGTCATCACGATGCTATCTGCTGAGTCGGGAGGAGGGAGAGATGCTGAGGAGGGGAAGGGAGGGGTAGAGGTATGAGGGAGGGGCCCTCCCCACTTGGCCTAGCAGGGTCTGGGAGCCCTGGGTCCGCTGTGAATAAGGCCGGGTGTCTGCGTGGGAAGGAGAGAATGGGGAAGCCCCATGCTGAGAAGGCTTCCTCTGCTTGCCTTCCGTTTTGCCCCAGGACAAGTCTGTGCTGGAGAGAGGGCCTGGCTGGGGAGGTTCTCATGCTGAGACCTGCCCCTGCTGGGAAAGGAAGCCCAGGAGGTCCCCCCACCAACCCTCCACCCCCTCCATTTGCAGGAGCCAGGTGGGGAGGGGAGGCTGAGCCCACCCTTGCCAGGACCACCTGCTCTGCCCTCTCACATGAGTGAACACACCTCCCCAGGGAGATGAAGCGTCTTGTTTGGCCTTCCAGGAAGGATGATTTTTTTTTTCAGGTTGAATTCAAATGCTCCACACAGCTGTCATCTGTCCAAAGTGAAAATGTTACTCTTGGTGGGCGTCTAGGTCAGTTCACCTCTTTATTGGGTGATGATGAGTGCCCGACATGGCACTTAGGTATGGAGAGGGCTAGGACAGCTTCTCCCTTCTGTGGGTTTAGTGACCCCCCCGAGCTCCCCGTCTTGGCTTACGGTGCCATTTCTGGAGCCTCTGCCCCAGTCCAAGCCCGTGCCAGGATTCTTTCTGGGTACTGATTGACCCTGACTGGAGAATGGCAGTAGTGGGTGGGGCCACAGATGTGATTGGTGTGAGGAAGGGCCATTGGGGATACCCAAAGGGCCAGGGGAGAAAGGAGGGAAATTGTGGGGGAGAAGGGAGGCTGGGGGAGGACGCAGGAAGGAGAGGGACAGGACACAGGACACGTTCTGTGGGGACAGACGCAGAAACGAGATCATTCCAGGTCCTCTCATGCCTTTTCAAGCTGGCCCCCATCTTATCCTGGCTGGGATGCTCTGAAGAGGCTGGGATCTGGCTTCTCCAGGCTGAGTTGAATGCGATGAGGCTCTGCCTTGGTGCAAACAGGTCTCTGTGTCTTGCTGAGGACAGGGACTGGGCCTCCTGCCTCCCAGCATCCAGTGCAGGGCTGGCCTGAGGAAGTGTTTGCCAGGTTGAGTGGAATGTGGACGCCTACCTTGAGTCATCTCCTTCTAGAGAAGGAGGGGAGTCCCTGAGGGATTCTCTGGGTGGAGGGGTGTGTCCCGGCTTCTGTGCTGAGGTCCCCACTCCTGGGGTGAGCTGTACATATCCACGGAGCCAGGCAGACGCTCACCAGCAGCCCAGACACCTTGGAACCGAAGTCCCAAGGGGACAACCGCCAGGCCTGGAGCTCACTTCACAGTAGGGTGGGGAATCTCCCTTCCCTCTCCTCCTTTCTTCACACCTCGGTCAAAACACTGAAGACATGGGGAGTTTCTGGACCTTGGGTCCATCTAGGGGATGTAAGTGGGGGTCGCCTTGGGATCTCTTGTTTTTTGCTGACTCCGGGACAGAATGTCCCTGAGTTATGAGTCAGCAGTGAGCTTAGCTGGCACCAGGGCCAGTGAAGGCATCTAGTGGGAGCCCGGGCTCTCAGGCCCTGGGGCCCCGGAGCCCCTGCCCTCCCTCCCTGTATGTGAATGTGCTTTCCTGTGTGTCTAGTTCCCACCTGATGATGCTCTACCAAGGGCCCCAGTGAGCTTCCTACTCCGATAGTTCTTCCGCTGTCAGGACTCCGGCTTGCCTACCGCCTCTCCTGGGAGCTCCCGGGGCCTCATGACTAAGGTGGGACCCTCAGGTCTGTCTCCCGTGGCCCTCACAATCCTCACATGTCGTGTTGCATTCCAGGTCTGTATTTCCTGCTAGACTGTAAGCCCCATGAAGTGTGGGGCCAGGGCCTCATTTCTTTTATTACAGCCTTATTGAGAAATAATTTACATGATGATGCAATTCGCTTATTTAAAATGTGGAACTCAACGGCTTTTGGTATGTGTAACTACCACCACAGCCAATTCTAGAATCTTCTCATCACCTCTGGAAGAAACCTTCTGCCACGACACCTGGAACTCCTTCAGCCCCTGGGCTCAAACCATCCTTCTGCCTTGGCCTCCCAAAGTGCTGGGATTACAGGTGTGAGCCACCATGCCTAGCTGGACTTTCCTGTGAATGGAATCATCTCATAGGTGGACGTTAGTGACTGGATTCTTTCATTTGGCGTAATGTCTTGTTCACCACTGTATCGCCAACCCCGGGGTGGCCTGATCCATGGCAGGTGCTTGGTAAATATAGATTGAGAGAATGAAAAAGTGAAGGAAAGCATTTCTGGAATATGCTGCCCATGAATAGCTCTAGACAGCCTCTCTGACCCCCTTCCTGGGCACATTGTTAGTGGCTTCTTATGGCTTGTATGCTCTTTGGCATTTGTTATTTATGGTCCCTTTGTGGGGTGGAATGTTCCTTCAGAGTTAAGAGGATGTCTTAGTCATCCTGGGATCACCAGCCTTGGATGCAGGGCTTGGGACAGAATAGGTACTCTGCGGGAAACTGGGGCAGGGGAAGTCATCCCAGCTCTCAGGAAAAGGCAGCCCTGGGGGAGAAAGCCCCTGAAAAAGGGCTGTTTCAGGGGATTAGTAAGGCACAGAGAAGGATGCCGAGGCCTTGCAGAGGGTGAACTTGCAGCCACCCAATTTCCAGGTCGTGGGGCTCTCTACAGGGGGAAAGGAGACTGACCCTCCTCCCTCGATGGGCTACCACTGTCTTCACCTCTTTTTCCGGGCCGGGACTATCCAGGCACTGGGAATGGTCAAGGACAGGGGACAGAGTCCAGGGCCTGAGAGCTGCTGAGTCTAGACATGACAGAGGACCCCATGAGATTTTTTTAAAAGGATGTAGCGAGGTGTTTATGTTCAACAGACATGTGGTTTTTGATGTGGCAAGTGAATTGAGCAACATTGGGCTGTGATGTGGTATAGTTTGTAGGTGTGATCTGTATGGAGCCATATTTATTTCACCAGCCACCTGCAAATCACTTACATGTTGTTTTTCCTTTTGAATAATAATTTTCATTTCCATTCCCACACCACACCTCCTGTCCCCAGAGACTCTGCTCACGGGTCCCCCCCACAGTCTTATCACACCCCCCTCCCCGCAGAGCAAGATGAAGAATGCTGTTTCTTGTAGCCTATAAGCAGAGTGAGTTTATTGGGAACAGACAAGCTCAGATGCTCATGGCAGAGGCCTTGGCTCCTGGGTGGGTGGGGATTGGTAGGAGGGGCTTCTGGGAGCTGGAGTCAGCCCAACTTCTCCCTCTCCCTCTCCCAGCCCCAGGCCCTGGGCCACAGCCCCCCAGATGGGCTTGGCCAGCCCCACATCACCGCCATGTCAGACCTGAACCAAGAGGAACAGAAGGGGAGGGAATGAGAAAGGGCATCTATGTACAGAAGGGGTGGGCAGAAGCCAGGTTGGGGCAATTCCATGGGGTAAATAATGTCAACTCTTGCCTGTAAGCATTCCATGCCCCCTTGCCCTTTGTCCTGGGCATTTCCCTGCTGTCAATCCCCCCACCATGTGAGTGCAGGAAAAAGAGCTATTTTCTTAACTTTCATAGTCTGAGTTCAATATACCTGAGCAAGTACATCTACTGCCCAAGACCCCCTCTAGATTTTCTGTCCTGAGGGGACATTGGCAGGTCTTCCCTGATTCTAAAATCTTGGCATGTGTCTTTGGGATTCAGAATGGGATTCGAGATGTCTCCTTTGGATGTTTGCAGTAGTGCACATTCCAAGTGGTATTAGAATAAGTTCTCTCTTTGTAGATGCATGAGAGCTGGAAGTAAGGGAGGTAGGGACCCTGGGGTGGGAAGGGGAGTCTGACTTTGTGGGGAAACTTCCGTGGGGTAACCCACAAGGCCGACTGTGATGTGTCCACTTGCCTCTGGGAGCCATGGCTGTTCTCCCAGCCTGCCTCCAGTCCAGGCATGACATGACACACTCTCCGTCTTTTCCTCCCATCTCCACTCCCAGGGCTCAGCTTGGAGTCTGCACACAACTAAGTGAGAGGGGTGAGGGGTGCCTCAGCTCCCGGGGAACACTGAAGGGGATTTTGAGTCGTATAGGAAGGCGAGGTTTTGGAAAGTCTTTGTCTTCAGCCTGGTGGGGGTGTGACATCTAGGGCCACAAGGCTGGACCCTGTCCCCGGGGTTTCCAGCCTCAGGGCAGCGTTAACACTGGCGACTGGAGGGGCTGCTCCCAGCCACCAGCTTTGTGTTGGAGCTCCTTGTGCCCCCACAGCCCAGCAGCCCCTGGGGCTCACAGGGGATGTAAAGTTCACCAGTGCCCATCACACTGCAGCCTCCGCTGCTCCTGAGGACGCTGGTGCTCCCAGGGCAGTACTCGGTCCTCAGCAAAGGCGTGCTGACCCCACATGGCTCATACAGGATGGCGCCTTTGGAGCTGCTTACGGCTGTGGAACAGGAGGGATCACTCTAAGGATACCTCCATTCCAGCCACCAGTGCCCATGTGTCCCCACCCTGACTGTGTGAAGTGCTCAGAAGGTCCCAGTGTGTCTCTCCTCTTCCCCTCCAGCCCTGGCAGGGCCAGATCTGATGTCTGCTTCACACTCTGTTTCTACTTGCCCTCCTCCTTCCTGAGTCTGCTTCTTTTTTCTTTCGTTGGAGTCAGGGTTTCACTCTGCCACCCAGGCTGGAGTGCAGTGTCACGATCACGGCTCACTGCAGCCTCAGCCTCCTGGTGATCCTCTCATCTCAGTCTCCCAAGCAACTGGGAATACAGGTGCGTGCACACCTGGTTAATTTTTTTTTTTTTTTTTTTTTTAGCGACAAGGACACGCTAAGTTGCCTAGGCTAGTTTCGAACTCCCGGGCTCAAGCAATCCTCCCAACTTGGCCTCCCAAAGCACTGGGATTACAGGCAAGAGCCACCTAGGAAAGCACATCCTCTTGTCAGTGTGGTGCTTTGAGACTTCCGAGCCCTGAAGCACTGGAACTGTGCTGTAAATCTGCTCCTAGTTCTGACTCCCAGGAGGTGTACGGTAGCCTGCAGGAGAGCTTCTATGCCAGCCCGGGACCTCATGGCCGGCAAACCTCTTCCTTTGGAGTGGGGGAGGCATCAGAGTCTGAGTGGGAGTGATGTGGGCTCTCTATGTGAGAGTGATCAACCCCCAAGACCCCAGAGCCCTTGGGGTATGGCTCAGTTACTTACAGATATTCACGGGCCCAATGCCTTCACACAGCCTGGGGATAAAAGGCAAAAGAAGACAGGTAACTACATCAGAGGGAGGAAGGCCCTCAGAGGTAGTAAAGGCAGCCTCTCCCCTCTCCCATCCCGGCCAATGACCCCATTAGCCACGACCTTTGTGCTGTTGTGGGTTTTCAGTGCCATTAGCCACGACCTTTGTGCTGTTGTGGGTTTTCAGTGAGGACGGGTGGTAATAGCAGCAACCACCGCCAGAGGGCTGGGTGATGTCCACACCTGGCGTCTCGCCCTCGCCAGCCTTCCTGTGGGAGCTCACCTGTGCTCCTCGCCCTCCAGCAGGCGCCTGTAGGTGGCGATCTCGATGTCCAGGCCCAGCTTGGAGTTCATCACCTCTTGATATTCCTTGAGCAGGCAGGCCATGTCCTGCTTGGCCTTCTGCAGGGCCTCCTCCAGCCCCGACAGCTTGCACTTGGCGTCGCTGAGGGCCGCCTCGCCCTGCTGCTCGGCCTTGGCTATTGCACCCTCGAGCTTGCAGCGCTGGGGAGGGCAAAAAGGCATCACTGGGAGTCCCGGAGCCCTGAGCCCGGGTCCCAGAAGAATAGAGAGAACCTGGTGGTGGTCACGTGCCAGGTTCTCACTTGCTGTGGGTTTCATTCTAGGATTGTGACAGCTGATTTCTCCAGGGAATCGGGACTGATTTTCTGTCTAAAATACCTTGAGGAGATGTGAGATTTTCCTCTTAGCTATGCCGAGCAATTTCTTGGGGCCTAGTAGATTTCAAACGCCTTTGCTAGCCTAGGAGAATAGAGTGGGTGTGGTTTCATTTTGACAACTCAGAGTCACCTTGAACTTCAGTATCGTAGCATCACAGCGTCCTTGGGTTAGAAAGGACCACAGAGAACATCTTTTCTCTCCTCAAGTCTGGTTAAGCATCTCCGACAGTAGGTCCCCTAGCCTCTGTGGGAACCTGGCTATTTCCTGCAGCTGCTCAGCTCTTTTGTGGAAAGGGCTTGGTTCCTCTCAAGAGAGGCAGTACACGGGGACTCTCCCCGCAACAGCACTCGCAGGAAGGACCGACCCCACCCCGCCTGGTTCACAAGAGGGAGTTGACCTCGGATGGGTTCCCATGGCAAGGAGGTCTTCCCGGCCTCACCTGGGCTTTGACGTGCTCGATTTCTTGCTGCAGTCGCTGAATGAGCTTGCTCATTTCCAGGATCTCGTTCTTGCGGTTGCGGAGATTGTCACAGTGGTTCCCGGCGGTCAGCCTCAGCTCCTCATACTGCGGGGGGGGGGGACACTCAGAGCGGTCAGAGCCCCAGGCCGCACACAGCCCCCTTTCACCCTCCCCCCCTCTTCTCCAGTGACTTCCTAGCTCTTGGGCTTCTCGTACTTGTCCTGCTCTCTGATCCCTTTGCATTTCTGGGCAATTTTGGGGTCCTTGCGAGGGCTGCCCCTGAGTCCCATCTCACCCCCCAGCTCTGAGTCTTCAGGCTTGTCCAACCCTTCTCCAAGCCCCATGAGCCCCTCCCCTCTGCTTGACTGTTCTGCGTCTGGTCCATGTCTCTCTGCCCCAGGACCCGAGGTCTCCCGGGGGCTCGTCCTCTTTTTGATGTTCCTCTGGACCTCGAAAAGGGTTTCTGTGCTCTGCCCGGGTTGCCTAACAGACCGAGGACTGAGGTCAGACCACGACTGCCCATCAGGATGAGTCCATTTGTATGTTTTTCCCTCAAAATGGTCAAGACCAAAATGCAATGTTATACCCTATCTTGACGTGTCACTTAAAAAAATTTGTTTTTGCTCGCTGAATCCAATTTCTGTATAGGATGCATACAGATTTCGTTTATAGATTTTTTAAAAAATTAGCCCACTTTAGACTTTCTGGTAGTAGCTCTGGACGGAGTCTTGCCCAGAAAATATAAAATGAGAGATAAGGGCATAGTCATGCTCTTTGACTTTTTTGTTATTTGGCAACTGTGGGGAAGCCTGCAGTTGCTTGATAAATACTCACTCTTCTCTTTTTCTTAAAACAGAGTGCTGCTTTTAGTTGAGATGACAGTAAGCCCAGATAAGAGAATATTTCTCAGACTCCTAAGAAGTGAGATCTCTGGCCATTGCAGGGTAGGGCTTCTAAGAAATCTCTGTAAAGTGGAGAATGACTCAATGGAAATTTCCCCCTCTTTGTTCCTCTTCCTGACTACCATGGGTGTGAGATATTGGAGGCGTCACAACTATCGCGGGACACCATGAGTACACAGCATGTGTTAAAGCACATGAAGATGAAGCCCATCTTAGATGGCAGAATGAAAAGCTACAAGAAGCCTGGATCCCCGATGGTGTCCTGGAGCCTTGTGTCATCCTGGGCAGTCTACTTTTGTAATTTAAGCTATCTGAGAAAAATATGAAGACTGAATTTGTTTTAACTATTTTTAAAAATTTTCGGACCCTCATAGCTACGTGGAAGAACAAGAGAATTGCCTCTATGACTCTGACTCAGAAGGATGGAAAACGAGATGGCTGTATCCCACCTGAGCCCACCTGACTGATGGGTGACCCAGGGGCAACCAGAGGAGGGGCCAGCCAGGTGTGAAACCTGGCCACAGAGTGAGTCACTGGGGCTGACTCCAGGCTAGGGTTTGATACTTCTGATCACCCTATCTCCAGAAGATGAGCAGGGTACCTCTTGGGTCACTTCCTGGGCAGTGGTTCCTACTACCTTCAGAACTGTCCAAAGGACTTTGTACATCTCTGCAGGTGTGCTGCAGTTCAGCCCCAAGTCACTTCTGCATCTGATCTCAATCTCCTTCACAGTGAGCTGCATATGCATATGACACCTCGCTAACTAGCTGCTGTGTCGGCTCCGACTGATCCTCAGCCAGGCCCACCCTCCCCCATTCTCTGCCACTGAAATCTTCCTTGTCTTTCAGGATCCGATCAAATGACAGCACCTCTGCCTTTCCAGACACAACGTGTTGCCTCTCCCACCCAACTCCCTTAACCCTCTGCTCTACCTTTGCCATGACTTCCTGCCTCCTTGTGTTGGGTGGGTAAGCGCACCCTTCCTGATGGTACTCCCTCGACATTCTCTATCCTCATCTGGTCTGTTGTCTCCATAGTGTGTGTCATCGTCTAACATATATCCCCTGCACATATTTGTCTTGCTCATTGTCTGTCTCCCCCACCCGCTGCTCAGGTCCCGCATTTGCCTCTGTAATGAAAGTGACATGAAAACAGGGACTGCTGGCTGCTCTGTTCCCTGGTG